GTACAGTTTATTCTTCATGTAACTTGAACAGCCGAGTATGCTATGATCAAAACAACTTTTCTTTGCGTCTGACATTTATAGCCTTTTTATCATGGGAAAATAAGCAGATTTCTGGAAAAAAAAAAATCGTCACTACATTAATACAATGGTGAACATTTCTTGTATTACAATATTCCTAATTTTTTGATATTTCTGTTCAGTCTTTAACCAATAGTTCAAATTACCACATAAGGATATGTATAGCCGTAGCAACAAATAAAACAAATATATTGTCAAGAAATTTGGCTTTGAATCACTTAGGAGTGACTCAAGTCTAAAAGCAAATATGCACAAGTAAGATTTATTTATTTTATATCATGCTCTCCATTAGTATTGAAAGACCTGACAGCAGCAATAAAATGACTACCCACTTGAAACTGCACATGTTATTTCATTAACTGTCAACAGGCTGACAAGGCTGTGGTTAGTCCTGAGACATCATTTACATATGAGTCCATCTCAATTAGTTCTGCCTTCGACACAACTATAAATACTCCACATAGAGTAAACAGTGCTTCATTCGCATCACATGAATTCAAAAATACGCACTCATGTTATTTGTTTGTGTATCCCTGACCATAATTTCCGGGCCTTGTCGTAAGTTGTGATCTCTTGTAAACACGTGACGCAGCTTGAGTAAACAGTGCGTGGGCTGAACCAGATCACCTCCGATCCTACTGCTGCCTGTACCTCTCCTTCTATGGGCTTTTCCTTTTACGCACAACACTAGTGGCTATCCAAAGGGACTGGTAAAATCATACAACATTTGTGGAGATAAATGTGAGGACCTTGTTATATTTACTATAAGCGTTGTAGGAGCACATCCAAATTCCATCTTTTGTATATTATTTATACGAGCATCAGTGCTTATTGCTTCAACCCATTTCCCCTTAGTAATTTGTTATGGGATCCTCAGCAGCACTGTGCAGTGTACTTTTTACCTCCAGAAATGTAGCCCTGACCAAGCCGAACATCAATATCTGGAGGTGAGTGTGTATGGGCCATTGACTGCTGCTGTGCCCAGAGCACAGGGCAATATCAACAATCACAGCATGGCACATGAAATGACTCATATAAGGATCAGCTGGATGCAGTCATCATTAAAACCAAGTTTCATATTTTGTTTTGTGCCTGATTTCTGGAAATATTCTTCCATGACATCTTCATGTCTATAAAGACCTTGATCTATGGGACCTTTCAGTTAGTGGGCATAGGCTCAGGGTGCGCCGCAAGTAACTTTGTGGGTCAGTGGAGAGAGCAGGCCACCCTCCACAGCCTGATGCTGTACAGTTTACTGCAGCTCAGCAGGGTTTTACATACTTTTGTCAACTTCTACAAGTTTATTATAAAGCTCAAAGTGAATGCATATGTTTGATTTACAACCGTTTGGTCTTTTGAGCTGTAGCATTCGTTTTAAAGACTACAGGTGTTACTCCTTTCAAACTTTACTGCTTACATTTTGTTTTGATTTCTCAGTCTATTTGCCATCAAACAAGATGCACATTGGTATCTCAATTCACAGTTATCCTGAGCAATGAGGCAAAACCAGCTTATGTGAATTCAATATTTCCTTTGAGTTGAAATTGTAGAACAAATGGAAAAAACAGGAAGCAGAAAAAGGAGCAGTGCCGAGCAGAACTGGGCCACTTGCTGTGCAGTGTCATAGATTGGATGTCAGATGATGACTTCGGGCCAGTAAACGGTCTCAAAAGGATTGTTTTTTGTATTATTACTGGGATGCACGCCATCTTTGAGGCTTCACTTACTCAAGTTATACAATAACTCTGAAACTTGTAATAAAGATTTGAGGTTTGTCTTATATTTTTACTCTTTACGATGTACAGTAAAAAATTTGGTGAACCTGGGATTCACCAAATGCATCACTTTTGTTGGAATCACATAAATATTTTTCAAAATAGATGTTTGCTTGCCCTCCTGTAACCCCAGCTATTCATTTTGCATTAGAAGTAGAAGGGGTTGCAGTGGTACTTGTTGTCCACATCTACCTTTTAACTGGAGCCAGTGTCCTAACTGGAGGTGTGGGCCTCTCCACCTGTGAGCACTCAGACCAACACAAAACAAGGACACAGGAGCTGAGTGTGAAAACATTTTCCTAGCGCTGGGGTTCTTTTAAGACCATGAGACTTTGTTGCATGTGGAAGCCAATAAATCATCATTCGCAGAGTTTTGACAGTGATGGAGAGTGTGTGTTTCTTATGCTATAGGGCTGGATCATGCCCTTAAATCTGGACATAACTCTGTAGGATTTGTTCAGCCAAGTCTAACACAAATCTAACACCTGAAAAACAATTGTGCTCAGGATCAAACACCCAACCTGTCATGTTGCTGTCAGGGTACCATAAAATGCAGGAGGGCACTCAATGCACTCCTTTTTCTGTCTACATGAGCTGCAAACATGCGCCTTTTACATATTAAATATTTGTCGTGAAAGGTAAAGACAGCTACACCCTCTGCACACATATGTATATTGAGAAGGCAATCTGCACACATATACAGGTAAAAATCAAAAGATTTAGATTATTGTTCAAAAGTGTAGTATCACCCGTTAGTATATGCTTGGTCCGTCTCTTGCCTCTTGTCTCTTGTCTCTTTGTCTCTCTCTTGTCTCCTGACTTTTGCTGTGGAAACTATTGAAACTATATTGGCAGCAGGGATTCTTGATGCTTTTTCGTCCGTCTTTACGTAAATAAAATAACAACCCTAGAACTTACTCTATCTCTTCTCAAAATTCTGCACAACAGATGTTACATATTAGTATGTGGTGACTACTTAGTACTTTAGATTTGAACAATGTGTCATTTCAACTTCCATTTCTGTCAATGTTTGTTTTGCTAGTGACATACAGAAAATAAAAAGAAACATGTTTACAGTTACACAGACATTTTTTACACGTGGCCTTAGGTTAAGGTAAAGGTAAAGCGCACTTCATTTATCCCCGTAGGGCAATTCCTCCTCTGCATTTGACCCATCCTGCTGCCACTAAGGCTTCCGCTAGGAGCAGTGGTCACCATACTATAGCGCCCGGGGACCTATTGTACATGTTTGTAGTGATGGGGAAACCAGAGCACCTGGAGGAAACCTATACACAGACATGGGAAGAACATGCAAACTCCAGTCGGAAAGACCCTGTTCAGACCAGGATTCAAATCCAGGACCTTCTTGCTGAGAAGCAAGAGTGCTATCCACTCAGCCACCGTGCCGTACGACAAATATCTTGTTGCAGATTGCCCACAGTGCAGAATATTACTACATTACTACTGCATTATAGGTGGATCAGAGTGAACTTAAAAAAAAGCAGATGAGAAACAGACAGAACTTTGGGGAGAAGGTGAAAAAATACCTACAGTAAAACACATTTGGCATGACCAGTAGCTCAATGATCTTTAACAGCGCAACATGTCCTGGGTTCAAGTATCAGCCTTGATCCTTCCTGTGTGAAGTTTACATGTTGGCCGGCTCCCTGTGTGGGTCTGCCTTGGGTCGTCTGTTTTTTTACAGTCCACCCTCATGCAGGCCAGGTGGACCAGGGACTTCAATTGTGTATGTGAATGCAGCTCTGACAAAAACTAATGATCTGTCCAAAATATGTGCCTTCTTCTGACCACCCAAACATACTGGGCTCTACACGTCTGACGCTCTTGTCTGACCAGGTTTTATTGTTTAGGTTTTCATAGTGTTTCTATTTAGAAAGTTGGGAGGCCTTTACAATTGCTGAGGGAATCTGTGTCTGATCTTTTTACCATGCATTTTACAGCAATACTGCAGTGAAAGGTTAGGTGTGACCAAGAGCTACTTAGGTTGAACTGGAAAACGGTTAAATTTATGTGGAAAATGAAGGAGCCCGTAATGTTTGGATGGTTTATTTGACTGGAAACATTTGATAGCGTGGACATGACAGTCTGTGGGTCGTTTACATCCAAAAGGGTTTCAATGGAAAATTATATATCTTGGTAAAGTTTTTATTGGCCTGTCAGGGTAGTTTAATGTGTCATGTGCTAATTCGTGACTCATTTTTGTGTCTGCCTGCAAGAATACTGTATGCAATGTCTACTTCTACTTACCCTAACCCTACGTTAGAGACAACTGTTCTAAAGGGATTCATGCATTTATATCTTTTTAAGTTTCATCCATCTTTATGAAATACATTAATTAAAATGAAATCCTTAAGTGATGTAATGTAAGTATGCTCCAGACTTTGTTTTTGTTTAATAAAAATATTTTACACACATATCTCAAACTTGTGTTGATGAGATCTTTCCCAATTTACAATGAGTTGTGAAATCTTGTGGCAAGCAGCTGGCAGCATGTCAGACGTAGCGCTTGGCTGGCAGTCTTGTCACAACACATGGATGGCATCAATATGGAGCTCTTGTGCATCTGCTTGTGGCTCTCCACTTGGAAACATTGTGTATTACCAACCACAAGCTGTCGACTTGTACCAAAGTGTTAATAACATCGGAAGAAGTTGACATGCCAAACTTACTCCGCCCTCCTCAAGTCCAGTCCTGTAGTGCACTCGCTGTCTTTGCCCCATGCTGAGGCCCCTTTGTTTCCACCTGATTTGCACCTGATTATCCTGATTGTATTACACCTATTCAGCTTTGGGATTAAGAGCATATACACAATATTATTGGTCATACCATGGTTCTGAGTCAAGCCATAAACAACTCCTACGCTCTGTCAGAGAAATATTTATCTTTGCTTGTAGAGTGTCTTCAGATAGTGTCAACACTGCTCAGAAGCACAATCACATTTGTGGATGGAAAACTAAGAGTCCCCTAGAGACACAAGTGTATGGTACAGATAGAAGATGATTAGAACTAATGGACCCCTTTAAAGTGTGGCTGCTCTGGTGTTTCTCAAAACAACGTTGCCTTATTTGTGATGATTTTATCTACATAGATTTCCAGTTGACATTCTTCTTGTATTCTTTGCTACAGTTACCACAACACCATCTCCGGGCTCAGGCCATGCCAGAAGATGCAACGACACAGAGAAGGCCTACTGTGTGAATGGCGGTGACTGTTATTTCATCCATGGTATAAATACGCTGTCCTGCAAGTGAGTAATATTGGATTTTTTTTATGCCTGTTTTTACTCAGTGTTCCCACGTGTTATCGTGAGTGCTATTGCTAACATCACATGTTTATGCTTTCATGTTGGTTCTCCAGTACTCTCCTCAGCATCAACAGCAGCAGCGGCGCATCACAGCAAAGTGCTGCCCATCTGCTTAATGACCCACCTGTTGAGCCCTGTTTTGTGTATTTTAACACTAATAATGGAGCGAAGCGATGCTGCGCTCATCCTTTTAAGTCAAGTTTGGTGTACAGCAGGACCGAACATTAAAAGCCTTTTCAAAATGTCATGAGTCACTGAGTTTAGTGAGGAGCAAATATTTATACCTCTTAGAGGCCCCCTGTGAGGTAAATAGGATCACAGCTTACATTGAGGGTTCTTAGTAAAGCAAGTTTTCACCCAGTTTAAAACCAGCCAACATTTTACTTTAATTTGATTTGAATTCTGGGTGAACATGAAAACAGATGTTTTTGCCTGTGATCATTACTATTGTGAAATTCTTTTGACCATGTGTCAACATAGCACTAGTCAAGGGTGGTTAAATTGAGATCTGATGTTGGCGGGGCTTTTGTGCCCAGTTGGCCTGGAGAAGAATGCTCGACAAGCACTGAGGACATGGTTGCAACAGCCGTTCAATACGCTGTGTACAAATTGGAGGCAGCAATAACTCAATTGCTGCAGCTAATTCACTCAGGGCTGAGGCAGCGCTCCAGAAAAGTTAGATAATGCAGTGGAGGCTTGAGGGATATGTTGCCCCTCAGCCATATCTCATTCAATATAGGCCAAGCTTCAGTGGGCATTGCTCATAGGCCAGATGAGTATCATGGTCAGGGAGGCCTAGTTTAAAAGCTGTTTCCTAATTTTCAATACACTTCATGTTAATCAGGTGTCAGATATGTTCAATTAAGATTAACCTGTTGCTCTATGGTTGGACCAATTACAGTTCTTATTATATTCCAGGCATATCTTATTTTGTAATTGTAATCTCATCTGATTTTTAAATGTGTGTATTTTGGCTTTCATCTCCTAGCCAGGTCTAGGTGGTACTATTTCCCTGTGCATCAGCATCTCTCTTGTTATGGTGCTCCTGGGAGACATGTGTGTAACCAGTAAATCACAAGCAGTGACCTTTTTCAGAGTGGTTGTCTACTGGTGACTGCAAGAGGAATGTGTGTCCCCCTAAAGAAGCACAGTCCATTTTTAACTGCCCAAAGTGAAATTCTGTAGCTCCTAGACCACTTATTTGTTGTTTATCCCTACATAAAGAGTTCTAATAAGTAAAATCAAGTCAGACCACATTATGATGTCTTTCTCTTATCATAAAACAGTTCATCTTATGCATACTTGTAAGGAAGAGCCCTGTAAGTCACTATTTGACGCTATGGGCTGGGAGCAGATTGGCTGAGAATAAGTGGTCCTCTCATTTTCACTTTTCTGTCCAAAGAAATATGATCTAAAGACGTGACAGAGGCCAAACTTTTGATGGAAGAACACTACTTTGAGGCCAAAAACTAAATCTGAATCCAATCTGTTTATTGTATGATTATAACGGCACTATTTGAATGCTTTTCCTTGTATACAAAACCGTAATAATGTGAATATTAATTTAAACCCAACATGCTTTCTACTTTGTTTCTGTAATTAGCGCTGGCTTTTGACGTTTGTCGCCACTTTCTAGGAACCGCTTGGCCGTGGGTTCTTTGTTGTTGTGTTTGACAAGCTGTTTTCTGACGCGCACTGACCTTTGCTGATGTTCATAATATTTACAGTGCACCTCAGTCCCTGTGTGTTCCTTCTCATAACACTTGTCTACTCCTTCCCAGATGTCCGGATGGATACTATGGCACACGCTGCTTACAGACCGAGCCGCTGCGGTTGTACATGCCCAGGCCTACCAAAAGTATGTCGAGCTGTGGGTGCTCTCTGTCCCCTCTCTCCTCCTCTCAGGTGGACTCACAGCAGCCTGCGCTCTTCACACTGATGGTGCTCCCGCTGACACCCTGCTTCTGCTGTCCACAATTGTGCACTGGTTCTAACGGGTGTCTCTCTCTCTCTCTCTCTCTGTCTCTCCCCCCTCACTGTCCTCCACACTTTTCATCTCTGTCCACCCTCCTCCCTCTCCCTGTGTGGCTTGTGTTTCTTCCATCAGGTGTCCAAATGACTTTACTGGTGATCGCTGTCAAACCTACGTTATGGCCAGTTTCTACCGTATGTCAGTTTCCAGTTCTGTCTCAGTGTTGTGCAGTTGTGTGATGTGTGCATGTGAGTGTACTGTTGTTTTGAATTAGAATTTTGTTAGCTCAGACAGTGTACTTTAAAATGATTGGCTATATGAATTATTAGAATAATTTAAAGGACCAGTATGTCGTTTTTTCTCTCACTGCTTTTATAACAATACTAAAAATTAGGGTTGACAGAATAATACTTTTCATACCAATTTCAATACCACTTGTTGGACGGGAAAATACTTTTATGGGGCCTTCTAATGTTTTTTATTGAAAAAATATCACATTTTGTCCTGTTTAAGTAATCAGCTTGAGAACCCAAATATCAGAATTTGATATAATCAATGACCACTGTGTCATTTTGAAAGAATGCATATCTTGTTGACCGTATGGGTTATATGGTCGTGTAGTGTAAACCATATTAAGTACTTTTCACAAGAAATATATTTAAAACATCAGATTTGCTGGTACGTGCTGGCTTTGTGTCCGGAGACACAGATACAAGATGGATTTATAGTTAAAACAAAAACACACACTGTGCTTGTTCTACTTAAACTACTGTTTAAACAAATCCTTGCATTTGATCACATTCAGTAGGAAATGCCATTAGTGCTCACAAAACTAGAGCTACTTGCATTCACATTGAGTTGTGTGAGTCATTGGTTAGAGATATAATGATGTGATGTCTGCATGTGACGTCTGGAATCGAAACGAGTATTGCATGTCCACTTACAGTACTAACAAAGTACTAACAACTTAATCACAAGTAATCTGGAGGATTTGGAAGCTTTGTGTCAGCAGTTTTGTACACCTGCATGTTACTAGAATACTGATTTGGCTAATAGAAGATTTATGCGACAATAACATGTATTTAAATTGTGCACAAGGTAGTGACTTAAAAAGATATCCATGATATTTGAGGAGATGTAAACAAATTAATTTCATTTGGTTTTTTCCCAAATTACTTTCCGGGTGAAAATATCCGGAGGAAAGTGTTGCATGGGCCAACATGCAAAGTTATCATTCTCTTCCTTTAAAGCTTTGGTCTTCTTTTTTTGGGTGTATAATAAATCTCACGGAAGCAACGTCACATTTGCATGTCCTCAGTTCAGGGTTTACGTGTTACACCACTGTTATCCTATTGCGTTCAAACTCCATTTTCAGCCTGAGGTAGTAGTCGAGCCAGCACCCCTCCACAGTGTACGGCAAGCAAACACATCAATCAAGAGCAGAATTATACTCTAACCAGAGACGATTTTGTGGGAAACTGCAAATAGAAAGATCATGCCTTCAGGGAATTGTGCTCAGATTCCCCCCCCCCCCCAAAAAATCTCTTTTTCCCATAATTGCATAAAAAAACATGTAGGTATGCAGTCAGGTCTTCAGTCACTCAACACTGTTTTTATACACAATTACCGTAATGATCTTAGAAGGGAACATAAAGAAAACTATCCTTATAATTTAGGTCATCTAACAGCAAAGAAGCCTCCAGTGTCTTGCTGCATATTTGTCAGCATCATGTCTTTACAAGCCCATGTGGTTTCAATATAAAGACAGCACTAAGTGAACAGTGCATCTGTAGTTGGACTTTGTGATGCTGCCGATTCTGCAGCTAGACTCTTGGCCCACTGAGGGATGTGAAAAAGCTTTTCTTAACTACAACTAATTCCATCTCACAATAAGTCATAATGGACAAGGCTGAAATCACTTGTCTTTTTGGCGTAGTAGACAGACGTGGTGTGGGAGCTGCACAGCTGTGCAGATACATCAGCAGTGCGGTTTACTTCCACGGCTTTTCTACAAACTCAAAAATAAAGACCTTGTACTGACTTCAGTATGTACAAAGACTGTGTACTTTTAGACATTTAGTTAAAACCATTATCAATGTTCTACTAAATTAAAAGTTCTACTCACACTTTTTTCATGTAGCAATGTTAAATGTTTACGATTGCACATAGTGTTAACCTCTGTGCTCTGAGCTTAAAAATGCAAAGTACATGTTATTGAGTTCTCTGTATTCACATGCATTAGCACACATATGCTCACACTTACTCCATAGGCTAAGGTCAACCTCCCCTGACCACCTCCCAGCCCCAAGAGAGCTACAGAAAGGAGGATGGCTTCTGCTCCTCAGCCAGGGTTAGGGTTTGGCCTACCAGGAATATGTTGTCATACGAGCAGCTGGGACCTGCTTCAGCCCAGTAAGGCCACTGAGCTGCAGTTATGCACTCAGCTGGTAGGTCCAACCTTCCAATGGCCTCCATGATGTTTAATATAGGAGCCCACTCGAATTCTTCTTAGTCAGAGTGATTAGTGCAACATTGTGCAGATCCACTCCTTGTGACTTGCCTGTTCATGTGATGGGTGTGTTCATGAAGTGAGACTGTAGCGTTTTTAGAAACTACTAAACTGCAAACACAGGTACTGACGGATCATGACGCATACTTTCCACTTAATAACAGTGGCTCTTCTAATGCCTTTAATTCCCACTTTGGAATGTTATTTTCTTCACAAATGTTACACTGCTAGAAGTAGAAAGAGTTCTTTAGTGTGAAATGTGAGTTTGTGAGTGTGTATTTAACATTGTACTTGTCGTTACTAAAACGTTTTAATTGTTTTATTTGCTCCACTATTCAAATGTTACTTCTGTCTTAATCTGCTCTTTTGTTTCTCTTCTGACTGTCCACCCTCTGCTATGGCAGAGCATCTTGGGATTGAATTTATGGGTATGAAACAATCCATTTTGTATTGTATTTGATGTCCTCTCGCCTGTGGCCTGAACTCAATCATAACCATCAGCCTCTTCATCAATTATTGTCAAACTAATTGGCCTGAAAATGTCGCCTGATTCTCCATTGAGCGTCATTAACACAGATGTCATCACCGGATCGTCTCTTAAGTGTGCATTGGAGAAGACTTATTAACTGTATTCCCTCTTTATTTGATTTAAGTCCTTCAAGCACGATAGATCATGTTTGTGACTGTTTTTCTTAGCCATAACTCTCCCCTGTCCTTCTCTCTGTCCTTTGATATGCTACCTATCTCTTATGTATGTGTGATCTTGCTTTTAAATCTTGCATTTTTACTATAATTCAACCTAAGCCCAATTCTATGTATTGTAAAGTTATTGACAAGTAACGTGCATGCATACATGTCAAGAATCATATAGATATTGGATGATTATCAATGCCATGCCTTTGCTGTGCTTCCCTCTAACTCATCCAGAAAAGTGCTATGAAAGTCGAAGAGACTTTTTGGATGTAGCTACAGTTATATTTCACCCGCCTAAAAAGTCTGAGTGACTTCAAAGCACTTTTTTGGCCGAATATCATGTGTTTATCTTATTTATAATTTGAGTTATTGTTTGACCTGAGCAGATTAGGGCAAGTAGCTCAAGATTAAGATGAATGTTTTAGATACAGCCAAACCAAGCAAATTTCCCCATTTGCAAGACTTATAAAGGTGCCTTATGCAACTTTTTTTTCCTATCTGACCATTAACTCCACTAGTTGCTCTATGAGTGGTTAGCCTGGTGCCGTCACTTTTGATCATGGTTGCCAGGATCAATTGTTTTCTGGTACAGGGGTCCGTCGGGAAGTTATGGAAAGTAATGGCGCCATGCTGACCACTCAAAGAGCCACTGGGTCACAAAAATATCAACTTTTTTCTTATAAAAAGTTACAAGTTTCCTTATATTGCAGAAAATATCGATCTGCCATATACATTTCCTAACACACTGCTGCACCCTTGAATCTGCTCAGGTTTTAATACACAGATTGCCAATAATTTGAGTAGAATCCTTATGTATTTTGTGTTTTTTGTGGTGGGCAGAGGCAGAGGAGCTGTACCAGAAAAGAGTTTTGACAATCACGGGTATCTGTGTGGCTCTGTTGGTGGTGGGAATTGTCTGCGTGGTTGCCTACTGCAAAACCAAGTGAGTATTTTTTTCTTTGAGCATTACCCACATTTTTGCCTGCTTTAAAAACAAAAAATAAAACATCATATATTGTTGTGAAGGAAACAAAGAAAGAAGATGCACAATCATTTGCGACAAAACATGTGTCCGGAACATCCCAATCGTAACCTAGCCAACGGACCCAATCACCCAGGACCTGGCCCAGAGGAAATCCCCATGGTAGATGTGAGTGCTCCATTTCTGCGCAATGTTCCTCCAAACGCATGAAGTTTCTCTAACCAAACATGTGCCAAATCCATTTTTTTTGCCTGCAGTACATATCAAAGAATATGCCTGCGACCGAGCGAGTCATAAGACCGGTAACAGAGGGGTCGTTTCCCGCCAGCCATACCTCTTCCAGATCTCACAACTCTTCCACACGAGCCCATTCATCAACTCAGAGGTAACTGTCCGACCAGCGCCTGGGCTAGCTTACACCCCGCCACGCTGCTCACACAAACGTGATATATTCTCGTGATTATGCCGAGGGTTGTTCTGAGCTCTACGGGGGGAAGTATTTGGGGAATTTATTCAGGACATGATTCTAGACTGGTCGTTCGATTAGCGCCATTGTTTTCTCACATAACATACCTATTTTCCCTCTGTGTTATTACTGTACGGCAGCATGCAGGAGAGAAGCACGTAACTCCCAAAGCGCACGAGTCCAACGCGAGCACGAGAGCATGGAAGCGGAATGAAAGCATAAACATAAAACAGACCCATTCACAATGACACTTTTAACTTCTCAGTCAGCTATGCGCAAACTTCTTTCATCCACGGCAAAATGTTGAAACATACTCGTACAGGTGAAACTTTGTAAAGGTAAAATTAGATTATCGTTCAAAAGTTAATTTAGGGACGGATACAGAAAACACAAACAAACTGTCAAAGCTCTGTTTCTGTACTTCAACTTGAAATCTGATATATACTGTAAATACTCCTTACATGTAAAGTGTTATACATTTGATGATTATGGCTTATAGACCTTTTTCAATACATTCTACTTGGTTTTATTTGGGATTTTTTCAACCTGTGAGGCAATTATCCACATTATAACAAATAATAGGCTTGATATATCGCTCCAATAGTTTCACATTATTAGTTGAATCACAGAAACAAATAACAATATTAAAATTTTCTGAGTTCCACCTGTCGCAGTGGGCCACAGACATGCTTCTACAAAGGTTACACTGTAAAATATTTCACGACTTTTAATTGCCTTAATATTGTACTCAAATTGTCAAATCTTTTCAAATTTGCCAGCACAATTTTGTTATCAATTGAACGGGAGAAAACCTAAAACGAATTTCAGATCATTTTCAGTTATATTAAAGTTCTATTCAAATGAACACCCTTCTCTTTACATTATTGTTGAGTTGAAACACCCACTGGATTTGACTGTTATGAATGCAAATACTAGATTCACCCTTAAAAACCAATAGTTTGGACAGCCCTTTTCTAAATCCAAATGAGTACTAATTACTCACAAGGGAATCCTAGTTTTACATAAACATTCTCTCATTGAATAGATACAATTTAACAAAATATGTCCAGTTAGAACTTGGTCATTCCCGCAAAAGTGACACGTATCTTCAGCCAGTGTTTTGCTAATTTAATAAAGAGAAATGTGATTGGAATGTGGTGGGTGGTTCTGTTAACACATCTTTATTCGTCAGACAAGAGGAGCGGACATGGAGCCTGGAGCGCTCTTACAGTATCCTCTCTGATTCTCCGGGAATGATGTCATCGTCAGTGGGGACCAGTAAATGCAGCAGCCCAGCGTGTGTGGAGGCCCAGGCCCGCCGCGCTGCTCACTGTGGTTACTCTGACCCCCACCGGCCGCCGCTGCAGTACGGACACTCCTTCGACTCGCTCGGGGATTCTCCGCACAGCGACAGGTGCGTTTGTCCGGGACGTTCTGAGACAGGGCTCTTTCTGATTTACGTTTTCACATAAAAACACCGCACTTTTATACAGCCTGTTGCGACCTGATGAGGTACGTCAGGTGAAGATGGCTTTAAAAACTCATGTCTCGCACAAAGGACAATACTTTGAGAAAGACTGCGTAGCAAACTGTGGAGTTACGGAATGACAAATCAGATTAGAATAATTCATTGTTGTATAGCCAGAACTCTGCCCCCCGCCTGCTCACCCACACCCGCTCCAGAGACCACATCACCCCCGTCCTCAAACAACTCCACTGGCTCCCTGTCCCATACCGCATACAATATAAGGTCCTTCTCCTCACCGACAAGTCCCTTCTTAACTCGGCCAAATATCGTGTGTCTAACTTATTGAAACATGTTAGGTATTATTTGACCTCAGCAGATTAAGGCAAGTAGCTCAAGTTTAAAGTAGACATACAGTATGTAAGATTTTCAGGTCAAGTCATCATTAAATGGCCTAAATCTGTCAAAAGGCATTAATAAATCATGCTCTTTTCAAATACTTCTTTACCTGATAACAGTAGTTCAGCCGAGATATTTGATTTTCAAAATTAGTTTTACAGCCCCTAAATTTTGTTATTGTTTTCATTTCGATGTCCCGCCCCCCACCTTTTGACCAATCAGAAAGTCTGTGATCAGGGTTGCCAGAACTCACCACGTCGAGCTAATCTCACTGGTAAAGTAACATATGGCCTCAGAAATAATAAAGGTCTTGTTATGAATCTCAAATCTTTAGTGACAAAACAAGGAATAAAATGTGGATTTCTATTGGGGTGAAAAAGATGTTGGTTATAGATTTGTTGTTGACAAAACTCTTGTATTCTGGTCCAAGCTGGATTTGTCTGCATATCTGGCAACCTGAGTCAGGGCGAGTGTTGGCTGTTGCACGTGCTTCTTTTTCCTTTATAACGTTTTTCACGTAGATATGAAGTTGTAAAGTGTCTATACTACTGCAGATTAATTATAATGCCATAGTATAGACATAAATGGTAGTTGCACGTTTGTTTTACTCATTCCTGTCGTCCCTGTCATGAAAAGCCGGCACGGGTCCAAAGAACTGGCCCAGGTGTTTACAATGCAAGTCCCGTATTGACATGCCACTTGGTCCTAGGCAGAAATACCAGGTCTGCAACATGAAACGCCTTATGACAAAGAAGGAGTTAAAAAAAACAACACATGCATTTGATATTTGTACTGGGAACCTAATCCTTAGACAGTTTATTTGCATCCGTTTGGCTCCATTTATTCACACTAATGAATAGTTTGTAATATCATCAACATCAGCAGCATTAGGATCAAAGGCTCCATCATGTTCATGTTAGCCACGTTTACTTTCACAGCACATCCAAAGCTCTCTTCTTTCCTCACAGTTCTGAAATCATATTGGGATAAAAAGAGATTTGTATTATTGGAATATTGTATACATCTGTATGATAATTACATAACAACATTCCATTGGTCTAAGTTTTATAGTGAGGAGATTGACCTGTAGTATTTGCATTCGTGCGTTATCTTGTCTTTTTTTTGGTGTTGCACCAGATGCTTTTAATGTGACCAAATTATTTTCAGAAGACCATCTGTTTGAAACGAATAGCCGCTTTCCTGAATAAGTACAAACAGAGTTGCAGTTGTGTTGTAGAGAGCGAACAAAGGTACAAAAACAGAAACCAAACGATCTTGACCATGTGCACATCATTAGGGTTTGGCTAAGATGTTGTTGTCCTGATTACATAAGTAGCATCTTTCCCAGAGTCACTTAAGGTAATACACAAAGCTGCCATCTTCAAACACAGCCTCAGCTGAATCAGCAGTGTTGAGCCTCCAGGGAGGGATCTAGTCTTTTTACTGATGTTTCGGTGTTTGTCTTTTTCATAGATACGTGTCGGCGCTGACCACACCGGCTCGTCTGTCTCCTGTGGACTTCCATTACTCATTGCCCCCGCAGGTGCCTATTTTCCAGATCACATCCCCTAATGCCAGCCATGCCATGTCCCTGCCCCCCGCCGCCCACAACCCGTACCCCCCAGAGGACGATCAGCCGCTGCTGCGCCGCTACCAAGTGCCCCTCCACGACGCACAGAGCCAGGAGGCGTACAGGCAGCAGCGCCGCACTTATCTGAACAACAGCCGGGGCAGCTTGCCCTCCAGCCCCTACCGGCTGGCTGAGGAGGAAGACTACGAGACCACCCAGGAGTACCTGTCCTCCAGGGAGCAACCAAAGAGAAGTGGGTCCAGTGGCTCTGGGGGCCGCCGCTGGCGCAGGTCCAGACTGAACGGCCATGTTGCCCCACGTGGATATGAGGCGTCCCGGGACTTGGGCTCGCGGAGCTGCCTAACAGATAGCGAGTCAGAGGAGGACGGGGAGAGCACGCCCTTCCTCAGTATGCAGAACATGAACGCAGAGCCCTCCACCATCTACAGACCGGCCCCGGACACACGGACTTCACACAGTGGGAGCTCACATACGAGACTGTCGCACTCACGCTCCAAACAGGACAATACTCCCCATTAGAGAGAGAAATGAACCAACAAATCAATATAGTATAGACCTGCATCTATAAGAAATATTTTTATTTTATATAACTGACAGATATTCTAAACAAATAAAATATTTATTTTCATTTTAGCAAAGTTGTCTACTAGTTAACAGCAAAGACTTTTTTATAGGGAAAACTCTATTTATATGTACATTTTGATTTACAGCATAAAAGATGTGCCAGTTTTTTCACAACGTAAAAAATAGAGTAATATTGTGGTGCCTTTTGCTGTATGCGACGCCAGAGGGCCAGTGGAGGTTTTGTAGCCTTTCTTATATGGATGCCTCATTTTTTATACACATACATGTTTGTTTTCCTCTAATTGTTTTACCTTTTTCCAAATGCATTCTTTGAGGAGTCTAGCCCCACTGGAACAGAGCCCCTTCATCATCATGCAATACAAACCACAACAACATAAAGTGTATGTTTACATTACTATGAATCGCCTGTAGGGAATGGGTTTGGGATTTTGCCGGTAACCACAGCGTAGATCCTTGGATACTGTCTCTTGAAAGCTTCTAAATGTGTGAGTGAGTGTGTGCATGTTGGCTGGCTTGCATGCATTTATGATTGTTAGATTTACTCAGTTTGTTGTGGAAACATCAAATGCCTGGGTGGCTGGGACCAGGAGGGAGAGCGAGGTCTCAGTCCCCCCTGTCCCAAGCCTATACCCAGTGCGGTCAAAGTCAAGATATTGTAATGTGGATGGACCAAACGTAGCAAGTTATATGTCGCCGATTGCTTCGTTTATCCCATTACTTTCTGGTCCGACTTTTCTCGCAACACACGCTGCGCTGCTTGGCCTGGGTTGACCCCTGCCAGTGGACGGTGTGGCAATACAAACAAAAAAAACAGCTCTTTTTTTGAATCTTCTCACACTTCACTCATGTCCATTGTGCTTCTTGTGGCTGAGCGATCGGTCACACAGTGTCTCAGGATTTACACACGTCCCTCCTTGACATACCTTTCACCCTCATCCTTAACTTCCCACAAGGTCTACCTAAGACAAGAAGGCTCTCTGGTCGAGGCCTTAAAAACATTCAGTCTACCAGTCTTACCCACCCATACACAAAGAAAGATGGTGGATCAGATGGCGCTAGACAATATCGGTGAAATACCTGTGAATCTATGAAAGATCATACAATGCAAAAATATGCAAACTTTCTATTTTGCTGTTTGTCATTTTCTATGAGGTAGTGTGTGGCGTGTCTGTGATTCCTGTAGCGTAGAAGAGATACCGTGATATAACGCTTATTTACATGACTTATTTTAAAAGCCATTATCCATCTATCCGCGGTGAGCCTTTTACTCGTTTAAACGCTCATGTTTATTGAATGATTGTGACTTATGTTATCACTGAATTATATCTCTTCTCATAAAATGCACACTTTGAATAATGTCAACTAGCATCCAAATAGTCTTCAGTGTACCGCTTTGTCTCGATGACAAATCTACGTTCAAAAATTAGTGGGTGAATAGTTAAACAAGTGTCTATACGAACCAGCTTTTAAATCACCATCGAGCTGAATTATCCAAACGACGAGGAACTAAAATATGGATCTGCGGACAGGTTAGGTTTGAGGCTTACAGATAATCAACTTTGGATCTTGTTTGTGTGAGAAATGTCACAAGATAAGCCTGCCACTCTTTTGTCCACTCATTCCCCCCGCTTGAAATGTCCAAACACCTCCCCTCTGCATGTCCTTGTGGTCCAGGTTAGATGGGTGCATGGTAAAAGAGCAGCAGACAATTCTTTTCCAGTGAACGTGTATTTTATTTAACATTCAGCAATAAAAAAGATTCTCTACCCCATGTCGTCCCTGAACTATCTTAGAAAAAAAGAACAATGCGATTGTCATAGATTGTAAAATAAAATGGAAAATGATCCACCTGTTCATATGAGAAAATAAATCTTTATTCATATCATTTTACAATTGAGTTATTTGTGGAGAGGCTTGTGTATTGATTTCTTCTTCAGCTTTGACAGCTTTATGGAAACATTAAGTAAGAGGTGCGTGTAATACCTCGATGCTAATATTACATGATTATATGTGCTCCGAGGGAAATACCTTCCAACATCCGGCATCAAAGTGGCCTGTAATCCGAGCAGGCGCAGCAGCACAATGCCGTGACAACAACAACTGCAGATTTCATAGTGTTACAGAGGAAAAAATCCATGGGAATGTATGAAATGCTAATTCGGATGATTTTATCCAGACTCAACCAAAGCTGTACCATTCAACCAAAGGGATTACAAGCTCAATGACATTTGAAGTTTCAAAAGATTAATTATGTTATGATATTTCTATTAGTTGAAGTATAATTTTGAGACTTGGGTGAACCAACACGGCCACTGGAGGGAGCCATTGCTTAAACATGCAACGTCAATACCATACACCAGCTGTTAAATGTAGAAAAACAGAAATGTTAACATTCAAATGCTAGTATCATGTAATAATGATGAATCAAAGATATGCTTATGAGCTTTTTTTAAAGGGATAATAATATAAAATTAAAGTAGCAATATGTATTTTCATGTCAAGTCATCATAAAATGGCCCTAATATGTCAAAAGGCATTAATAAACCTTGCTCTTTTCAAATATGTCTTTACCTGATAACAGTAGTTGAGCTGAGATATTTGAATTTCAAAATTAGTTTTAAAGCCCCTAAATCTTGTTATTGTTTTCATGTCGGTGTCCCGCACTCCAACGTTTTACTAATCAAAAAGTCAGTGATACAGGTTGCCAGAACTCACCTCCTGGAGCTAATCTCACTGGTAAAGTAACATGTGGCCGCTGTACTAATAAAGGTCTCGTTTTTATTCTCAAATTGTTAATGACAAAACAAGAGTTACAACGAGGATCTCTATCTTTGTGAAAAAGGTGTTTTAGCATAGATATGTTGTTGACAAAACTCTTGTCTATTCAGATATTATGTTCCCAGGTGGATTCGTCTGCATATCTGGCAACCTGAGTCAGGGAAAGGGCAGTACCACTTTTGGCCAGATTTTTACATACGGCTCCTTTAAAAAACAACTTGTGTTACCATAATCTTCCTGCCTGTAGCTCTTAAGCACTGATGGGGTTTAGCTAGAGACAACTCTGTGCATGTGACTATTGTTACATCTGCTGTGAGGTGCTATTTTTTGTTTCTGAATTTTTTTAAATTAAAAAACACCCAACAAAACAAAATGGCAACCCAAATGTTGGCCTCATTCTGATTTCTTTGAAAAACTGTAAACATAAATATGACGGATTTCTTAACTCCAGTTTAGACTTTTGTTCAGAAAACGGTCAAAGATAATCTGTAGCTTGTAACTTGTTGTCACAGAAAGTATGTAGATAATTCAAGATATCACTCTCCCTTAAAAAAACACAATAATACGGACTTGATTGACAAACGATGCAATCATTATGATATATTGAAATGTTCTCGATTTATGTTTTATTTATTTTTTAAGAAAACGTAGACTTTGTTCATGCAGTCTGTCCTCTACTGCTCTTTTTACGGTCGTTGCATATTATGACCTTAAGATAGCGCTGTTGTGTTGTGTTTAAAGGAACAACGGTCCATTACAGTAAGTACACATAAAAATAAACAAGGGGTTTGTAAAGTATAAATCTGGTTCGATGAAAACATGACAGGCAGAACACTGTTGGAAGAGGAAATTATTATTATTATCATTTTTATTAGATTTAAGAAAATAAACAAGACAGCAGAGAGGAACAGCGAGTGAAATCATCTTCAACAACACACACATTTGTACATAATAATTAATTTAGTTTTGACCTGTGAGAAGAAACATCTTTTGTCATTCAGAAACACAAACAACATCACAGCTGCTCATCAAACAAGTTATTTCCAAAACGTTACACTTGTTAGGGCACTTGTTTAAGGCCAATAAGGTTATCCTGAACGGCAGCAGCATCTTTGGCCTTCTTGGGTTTTCCTCCTTTGCCCCTGTTGGAAAAAAAGAGCAGTTACAGTTTAATAGATACTTACCAAAATATCACCAATCAATCCATTTTCATTGGTTGAGTGCCTTTCCTACACAAGGCAACACAAAGCGCTTCACAGTCCACATCACACAAAGCCTCCCAGTTAAAAACACAATTAAAATCACACAAGGGATTTCAGTAATGTATAACCACAGTGCATAAAAATCAGTTGTATGCACAGACAAACAGACCCGTCTTTAACGTGGATTTGAACATTATCAGAGTAGATGCGCATTTTCACATTTTCAGGAAGACTGTTCCAGATGTATAGCTGCATAAATCTGAAACGCTGCCTCCCCATGTTTAGTCCTGACTCTGGGCAATGGAGAATAGATATCATGTGTTTAAATGTCTAAAGCAATCCATCAATTGTAGCCTGTATTTTTATTATAGTTTAAAAGTCTATGAAACTGAAGTTGAGGAGAGCGAGAGAGTAATGACAACCCTCAATCAATCATTTGCCTTTTTTTATACATTTTGGGGGCGCACATTTTTAAAACAAACAAAAATGTTCTTTTTTTCCCACATTAATTCTGCAACGCCAAAATGTTGCAATTCATTTGGGTTTGGGATGATCTGTTGGATTTAAAAGTGAGCTTTCAGAAGACAGAAGCTGACCCAATAAAAAGATCAAAGACACCAACTGGTTGTTTTCACATTCTAGAATGTGATGAGGTCATATTTCCAGATGGAGAGTAAGGACTGGTTTTCTGCCTACATGGTCCTCTCATGAGCCATATTTGAAAGGTGAATTCATTTTCTTTTATTAATCTGATCATTTCTATTAGTTACTGAACACATCTGCATTGAAGAAACAAATAGTTTTTAGACAAACTGTCATTCAAAACGGAGCGATACAATGATACAGTATTTGTCTCAATTTGACCACATTTAACTGCCTCAAAACAAGACTTACTGATGGAACAAATATTAAACTGGGAAATTAGAATAATAATAATGCATTGGTTTTATATAAAGCTTTTTCTGACACTCAAAGAAGCTTTACATGGAATTATGGTTTCACACAGTGGTGATAAACTACAACTGTAGCCAGAGCTGCCCTGGGGCACACTGTCAGAAGCAAGGCAACCTGTCTGTGCCACCAACCACTCCCACCATCAATCATGCCAGCACACACCAGACTCATACTAGGCAATGTGGATGAAGTGAAGCTTGGTACAGTCGCAGCCGCAGCCGCCCCACTGTGGCACCTAGTGTTCCCTGAGGCCTTAATAATAAACCTTCAGTGCAGTCTTTTTTTTTTTTTAAATAATTTTATTTAAACGTTATACAAAGTTACAAAAGAGTTACAAATAACATTGACCATACAACCTTGGAACCATTTTTGTTTTTCAAACTAAACCCCCACAAGACAAAATAAAAACATACAAAAATTATAAACACAGAATCCAAATAATCATGATTATAATATTTGAGAAAGAAAAAAAAACACAAAAAACAAACAATATATCTATATATGAGAGTGACAGCAACAAACTGCAAACCGATATATAATGGCAACGGATACAATTGAAAGATCATGTAACACACACAAATACGCATACATGTATGACACAAATAGTTATTTTGGAATGTTACGCATTTTATAGTTTCCTATGTAATCCAGAAATGGCTGCCATGTTTCGGTAAATGTTGTAATTGAGCCCAATGTCGTACATCTCATCCCCTCAATGTGCATATTGCTCAAAAGATCATTTATCCAGTGTTCATGTGTGGGTGGGTCCTCCTTTTTCCACCTTAAAAGAATAAGACGCCGGGCCATCAAAGTTGCAAAAGCTATTGCATGAGAGCACAGTGTAGAAACAATGTTTTGAGGTAACGCGCCAAAGAGTGCAGTTAATGCATCAGGGGCGAGCTTAACTTCATACGCCTCTGACAGCGTTTGTCCAGTAACTAGTCAGATTGGGACATAACCAGAATGTATGTTTAAGTGTCCTGGTATCGGATTTACAACGATTGCAAGATGGGTTAGTACCTGGATAGAATTTGGCTAACTTGTCTTTGGAAATGATGAATGACCTTGAATTGAAGAAGGCCATGTCTTGCACAGATTGAGGAGGAATGTACTTTCTGTAGCATCGCCTCCCAGAGATCATCCGTTATGGCCAATGATAGATCCTGTTCCCAATGTGATCTTATTATTGCAAGAGATGGTGACTGTATCTGTAATATAGTTGTATAAATGTCTTTGAGCTTGCCTTTTTTATGAACAATAACATCTAAAATCTCATCCAGGGTGGTGGTGGTTGGCATATTTAGAAAGGAGGGGTAGCGAACTTCCCATTGAAAATCCCATGTGCGCAGTCCCTTATCATTCCAAATTTTAGATGCAGAATCAACAAGCGATGGTGGGAACATGTGATTCGAGCACAAGGGTGCTTTAATTAACATGGCATGTAAGCTGAAATTTCTTTCTCCATTGAACCCAGAGTCGAAGAGAGTCATAAAGTAAAGGGTATTGTTTGTACTGATGCAATTCTAAAGTAAGTGCTGAACTTAACAACGCAGATAAAGAGGTTTTCCCAGAGCCACCTGACTCAATATGGACCCACGAGGGAGTCTTGGAAGTTGAATCACCAGCCCAGTAAAGAATATTCCGTATGTTTGCTGACCAGTAATATAAGTCCTTTCGAATCCTTGGGGATTTACCATTCCAAATGAACACTGAAATAAGTTTGTCAAGATCCATGATAATTTTTTGGGGAATATAAAGTGGGATGCTTTGAACCAAAGGTACTTTGGTAATATATTCATTTTAATGAAGATTATTCCATCTATGCAAATCTGTTTTTGTCTTATCAAGCAATGACAGGAAGTTTTCTTTATAAAGTAATTTAAAGACTCTAGTGACCTCGACACCCAAATAAGTAATATCATCTAATTTTACTCTGAACTGGAATTTCTGGATGTTTAATTTGTACCCCGAAACGCGGCTGAACTGATCAAAAATTGAAAATGCATGAGGAAGACTATCCAGAGGGTCAGAAATAAAAAACAAAAGATCATCTGCATATAGAGATAGTTTGTGTTCCTGGCCTGCTCTACGAACTCCCTTCACCTTCTCCTCCGTCCTAACCTTAACCCTACTTAATTGCAAGGGGTTCAATAAAGAGCGCAAACAGGAGGGGGGATAGTGGACAACCCTGCCTTGTACCGCGGTGGAATGGGATATAGTGAAAAAATAAGGAATTTGTCCTAACGTGTGCCATAGGTAAGGAGTAAAGTAACTGTACCCACAAAATAAATGTACCTCCAAAGCCAAATAAAAAAATCCCACTCCACCCGATGAAGTTGAAAAATCCATGCCTCCCCTTAATAAAACCTGTTTGATCAGGTGCAATCAAGGTGGGTAAATATTGTTCAAGGCGGAGGGAGAGTAATTTGGACAGAATCTTAAAATCTACATTCAGTAACGAGATTGGCCGATATGAAGAGCACTCAAGCGGGTCCTTATTTGGCTTCAATAATAAAGAAATGTTTGCTTGCCGAAGTGTAGGAGGCAGGGTTGTCAAATTAAGCGATTCCACATAAACGTCCCGCAGCAGAGGTGACAATCGATCCTTAAAAGTCTTAAAAAATTCAACTGGGAAGCCGTCTGGCCCTGGGGACTTTCCACTTTGCATTTTACCAATTGCTAGTTTTACTTCCTCTACAGATATCGATTCCTCCAGTTGGTCTCGAATTGTTGTCTGCAGAGTAGGAACAGGTAAATTCTCAAAGAACTCCTCAAATAACTCAGGTGAATGCAAAGACTCAGATTTATAAAGGTCAGCATAAAATATTTGAAAGCAATCATTTATTATTTTTGGATTAGCAGAAATCTCTCCACTTTGAGTTCTAAATTTGGAAATAAATTGGGCAGATTCTGACTTACGCAGCTGGTGTGCTAGTAGCTTGGACGCCTTCTCTCCATGCTCATACCACAACCTTCTTGACTTGTGCATCATTTGCTCAGCTTGTCGAGTTGATATAAGTTTAAATTTAAGTTTGAAAGACCAAACGCTGTTTATACAACTCTGGAGTTGGGTTGGAAGAATGCTGGGTATCCAATTGTGAAATAAGATGAGTCAGTTCAGTAGCACGTTTTTCTTTTTGTTTTTTAACATGTGAGCAGTATGATATATGAACCTGCAAAAAGGCCTTCATACTTTCCCAAATTGTACAAAAGGTCACATCCCACAATATTTGTCTCTAGGAAAACACCAATTTGTTTAGCAATATGTTGCACAAATAGTAGTAGGGTTAAAATGTCACCAAACGTCAACTAGTCCATACATTTGCTGATAAGATTGTAATGTTTGCGTTGATTTTGAAACTGACAATTATTTGGCCGAAGAACGATCTAGGGACGGATTCATAACTGGTTTCACGTCACCTCCAAATATCAAATGATGCGTGTTAATTTGAGGTAGTGAGTGAAGGAGATTATTAAAGAATTTCTGGTCGTCCCAATTAGGGACATATACTGTACATTTGCTAAAATAAGCGGAGTATTAAATAATGAGCCGGATACAATTACGTAACAACCATTAAGATCCGCTATTGTCTTAGAGACGATAAATGGAGTGTTTTTATTAATAAGAATAGTCGTGCCTCTTGCCTTAGAATTAAAGTTTGAATGGAAGACTTAAACGCTATGTTGATTTTGAGATGTAGGAGATGAGACAGTACCTTATTACATTTGACCGAATGATTTAATCCTCTCACATTCCAGCTGATGAAATTTACATGGCAGCCATTGGTTACAGGAATCGCTTCATCAGGTTTTCCTTACAGTAGAAATTATAGATCCGCGCCATCGTAAACTCAAAAACACAGTTGTCATCTGCACATTTCCCTTGTGCCGCCCCCAATCGACAGACACATATTACCCGAAGCTTTCCTACTTCCACTGAGAGTCCCATTATTCACCTAAAACCCCTTGTTCCTTATTAAAACATAATAAAGAATAATAAAGTACGTATCTTATGTTAACATCCAATTGAATTAAACCAAACAAAACTACAAAATTAAACTTACACAACTACCTCTACAGGATATAAACAATTGCGTGGAATAGTGGCTGAAAAAGAATAATTGAAATAAATAATAATATAATACTGTATGTATACACGTGGTCCTGTCCAGTGCCCATTGCATACCTGTTGGGCCAGATCGTCACCTCAAAATGAGTAAAAGCTGCTCTGGGAACATTTCAAAACACAATAACATCGGCAGCTCAATTTACAGAAGTATATCTACATTCATACATAGGTACACGCACACATTAAACAATATTATTCTTAGTATCAATGCAAATAATAGGTAACATGTGCAGTTGGTAATCACTTAGTTTAGCCCACTATCGGTTATCGCCCCAACATGAACGTTTTATTCGTTCCTAGCAAACTTTGAGCCAATATAGTCTTTCACATCACCGGGACTGTTGAATACCTTCGTCTCACCATCACAGGAGACACGGAGTCGGGCAGGGTAGATGAGCCCGTAACAAACTCCCTCTTGTTGTCGGAGTGAGACTTTCACCTCATTGAAAGCTGCCCGGCGTCAGATCGGCACTGTAGTCCGGAAAGATTAGGATTTGTTTTCCATGATACTCCAGCCGACCCTTCTCCCTTGCGAGGCGCTGAATCTTGATAGTGTTTTCTTGATAGTGTTTTCTTGATAGTGATGGACGCATACGATAAATGGCCGCGATTGCCCTGTCCCAGCCCTTCAAGCACCCCTAAAATGCGAAGGTTGCATCGTCTTCCTCTATTCTCCAGGTCATCCATTTTTAGCTGTAGTTTCTCGCACCTGTTGCTCATCTTCTTGCAGCCTCCATAGCTGACATTCGTGTGTCAAGCGCGGTCAATTCGTGCTGTGGTTGCGTAGTTTGTCATCTTCAAGCATCTGGTGGATTGGCGACACAGCTGTGTTGATTTTTTCTCGTAGGCCGTCATTTTCTGCTTTAACAACTTCTTTAACGATGTCACGAAGAGCTTCCATTGTGTCAGTATCAATCGCCATCTTGCTAGCGGCGATATCCCACGGGGCAGCAGCAGGGGTGGAGGAGTTAGCTTGTTCATCAGTTTTGCTAACACCTGTAGCTGTCGATTTGGCTTTTTTTGGAGGCATTTTTCCGTCTCAAATATATAGAAGCACGTGGAAAAAACGTCCAGAGTCCAACGAGTGTGCCACACAAGAAAGTAGTGCAAATTAAAACATACTTTTATTAGGATGCAGGGACCTCGAGTTTCGCACGTCTACTCCATGATGCGCCCCTAGTTGTCTTTAACGTCTTTAAAGTCTGAGATGATTTATTTTCTGGTTTGCAGGTGACTCTGAACCACGGCAGGCCGGTCCCAGCCGTGCTTCTGGCCAATAAATCGGACCAGCTCGCGTCCTACAGTCTCCTAGTGCTCCTTTTGCAAATAATCCTGATCAGAATGATTTCTAATAATTATTTATAACAAAAGTTAGGCTTCAGCTTTCACAGGTCTGATAACACATTTGACATAAAAACAAGAGTCAGTTTGATGTTCAGAAGAGAAATAATTCATGTTTAAATAAATAGAGATTTTCCGGCTGTATGTGCAGTGGTCTGGAAGCTCACCTGTCCTCCACGTCCTGGATGGTGTCTGGCAGCGAGCAGCCCAGTGTCTCTGGGAGGAGCATGGCGGCCACTCCGGTGAGGATGGGCGCCCCTCCATAGATCAGACCGGGCAGCCAGGAGATGTAGTCCCCGCTCAGCAGCACCATAGGAGCAACCATGGCCCCAACACGAGCCATCATCGAGGCCAGACCCATGCCGTTCTGACTGTGGCGCAACACAACAACACAACAACACAACAACACAATAAAACAAGATTCAACAACAAAAAATGTATTATTTTTTCACAACAATTTGAAATGATCCTCCATTCTCTCTCTCTCTTTCTCTATCTTTCTCCCTCTCTTTTTCTCTATCGTTCCGTCTCTTTTTCTCTCTCCCTCTCTCTCCTTCTCTCCCTCTCTCTCTCTTTCGCTCTCTTTTTCTCTCTCCATTGTAACTCTCACTCTCTATTTCTCTCTCTCCCTCCCTCTCTCTCTCGCCCCCTCTCTCTCTTTCTCTCCCTCTCTCCCTCGCTCATTCCACAGTTGCAGCAGGGCCTGTATGTCTCCGTATGCTGATACTGCACCTACTGTATTACCTATATACTTCATATATTACCTATATACTGCATGCATTACATACTGTATGTGTGGCTGTACTTCCTAAACTACCTAAACTTGGAGGATGTGCTGTCTGTCGTTGTCAATAATTTATTTCTCAGAGTCTTTGCTTTTTGAGGACACAGTGTTCATGGGTTAAAGTCAAAGGTGGTAGTACCATTTACACATCATAAATCAAACAGCAACGCAGACTGCTGGGTGTGTGTTCTAATGCTGGGTCAGGACCCCCAATGCCCGCCCCCAGTGTCGTGTACAGACATTTGGCTCTGAAACGTGTGTTACAAAACCAGTGAGGAGGGGAGGAGGTCGGAGGGTTCAACTGTTGGGGGATACGCGTTCATATGTGTGTTAATGTTTGTCTTTATCATAACTTCAGTTAGAATTTGACTGTACACTCCACCTTAATGCGTGACTTATGTGCTTTCTCAAAGGAGCAGCGTGAGGAGAGGATTAGATCGTGTGAGGAAATGTCATGGTTGTCAAAGAGATGTACTCGCTTTTGGGAAAGATTCTCATGTGACTGTAGTTTCTGTCTCTGCTTCTCTGAGGTTCTGTAACATACTGTGGACTTAACTGTGGGTAGGTTTAACACAGATAAGCATCGGAAAAAAAAGTGTTTTCCATGTAGTCACTAACAGTAAGTAAAAGGTAATTTAATAATTAAAATAATAATAATAAAGGTAATTCTAATAATTAAAAAAACAATTTTGACAAAATTTAAAACAATTATTTCTACTACATGTCATTTTTGCAGCCCTTCAAACGCGCTTTCAACTTTCAGTCCAGTTCAAAATTATAATGAGGAGAGTTTATTTATAGGCTCTCAAATGTAGTGAGATAAAAGGAAAAAAATCTTCTGCAAGTTACACTTCACATTTTCCAACCACAGACGATGTTGTTCAACTTTACTTCTTGAGTTCTTTGATCCCAGTGGCCTGCAGCCGCTGTATGTATTCTACTGCAGAAGTGATTTAGAATCCCTAGTTTGGACAAAACCTATCAGTCGTTGATAATGTTTATGTGAACAGCAAAGAGAGCCACAGGGAAATGCATTGAAACACATATGAATAAAACTGATTATGTTTGAAATAAGAAAATCCATGTAACTAGTTCTTGCTCTCAAAGCAGTCTTAACGTCAGTATCGTTCAGCTGTATTTTTGGCCTTGGCCTCGTCACAGCCGTAGATCAGCTTTTCCAGACAGAAAAGTGAAAAAGAGAGGACCAGCCTCACAGTCAGTCATCTCACAGCCGATATGGGTCAAACAGTGACTCACAGGGCTATTTTAATATCTGCGGTGTTTTTTAGGTGCTTTCTATGAAGACAGCATGTCTCAAGACTCTTTCTATTGGGACAAACTAAATAAAAAGAAAGTTAGGTACCTCAGCTTTAAAGTATAGTGATTTGGTGATATGCATATGTCAAAATGTGTTGGACTCAGTGTCTTAGTCCATGATCAATGTTAGTGTTGTGAATGTTTTACAGCTGATATAACTTGCTTCTGGTGAGTTTGTGAACGTGTGAGGATATGGCCATCTTACAAAAACAGTGTTAACCTGACCTCAGAATATGTGCACAGTGCGTCTGTGCAAGAAACTGAACCAATGTCAGAATGTGCGATATAAAACCACATGTGTTGCTCTCACTTTACTGAGTCACTTTACATTCACGGCCCCTAAAACACCGTCTCCATGTAAACGAAAAGCCAACCCGATAACCATCTCTAGCGTCTTTGTGTCAACGGCCCCTAATAAGTTGACTCACAAGTCTAGCTGCAAGCATGCAAAGAATAGTTCACAAAAATATTACCTTCACAAGACTCTGTTGGGTCAAAATGTGTTATTTACAGAAACAAAGAAGTACCCCATCTTTAATGAGTAGTTGGTGTAATCAATAATTACCGAATGATGGTGGGGTAGAGCTCTCCGGTGAACAGGTAACAGGAGGTGAAGGAGGCGGCAAGACAGCCTTTACCCACCACTGTTATAGATGTGTGTGTGATCGGTTGATCTGAAAACATAAAATTGTGAATAAGTTGTCATATAATGTGTAAAATGTAAAAGTCTCACCCTGCGGCACGAGCAGGTTGACTAAAATGCAGATTCCAGCTAAGATCAGGGCCCCCGCTTGTGACGGCCTCCTGCCCCATCGGCTCATGGTGATGGTGATGATGAGCTTCGCTGGGATGTCGGCGCATCCGAAGATGACCTGGATCAAGTACATGTCCACCCCAAACTTCTGGAGATCCAGTGCAAGGCCGTAATATGCAAAACTTGTGGAAAACCTACAATATAGATACCAAAAATATTATAACAATAATAATAATGCATCGGTTTTATATAGCACTTTTTTGGACACTCAAGGACGCTTCACATGTCATTATTTTTTCACTCCGTACACGGTGGTGATAAACTACTACTGTAGCCACAGCTGCCCTGGGGCACACTGACAGAAGCGAGGCAACCTGTATGTGCCATCGGCCACTCCGACCACCAACAACCATTCACACACACACCAGATTCATTCTAGGCAATGGGGGTGAAGTGTCTTGCCTGTATTAAACAACATTTAGGTAAAATCTGAAGTGGAAGTTTATTTGAAAGTATTTTGCTCAAGAAGGGGTGAAAATTTGCATTGAACTAAAATAGATATGACTTTTCAAAAAAAAGTAAAACATTTCTAATGTTTATCTCATTTACTGTATCTGCAAACGAGCTCTTCATTTCTAATTCAAAGTTCAAATCATATCAATTTGTTTTAGTATAAATTGATTTATACATGAATAAATGTGAGTCTAAATCAGTCGTCTCTGAGCAGGAACAGTTCAAACACAGGAAATGCAACAATGAAAAACAGAGATAATGTCAGTTTCACTTTCCACCTATGCCCCTTTACCCGTACTTGCATAACATTAAAAACTCAACAAGCTCACACATGCTGGGTTCATTTACCACATTATTATCTCTCAACCTTTGACTCAATGAAAAACAGTTCTGCTTATACTGAAACTGAAATGAGGAGACAGCGCTGTTTTGAAGATGGAATTTTTACCTCACTGTTGGGGTATATCACTTTTGGTTTACTTTTGACTGCGCTGGAAAATGGCAGGTCCTAAGTAACTCTGAAACAGTTGTCGTTTTACATTTTACCTTTCATGCTTTTTTCTACCAAAGATGTTGCTGCAGTACAGTATTCATGGTTTTGCACTGGTCCAGACCGGAGCGGAGAGGATTCATGGTCCGAACCAAGTAGATGAAAATTCATTGGAGGAATGCTAACTTTTTGAAAAAGCGAATGAAGCATTTAGCGTTTAACTTTGGACTAGAGCAGAGAAAATGGTCCGAACCAAGCGGGTACTCCACCTTATGACCTGTCCTGCTCCACCCAGAGGCTACTCCACCTCTGCTGCTGTGACCAGAAGGCCTGTCGCTGATTATTACTATTGTTAGCTTTTTTGAATGATCAATTTTTGTTTTTGTTTTTGCCGCTACTGATCAATAAAGGATCTATCTATCTATCTATCTATCTATCTATCATGAAAAAATATATGGGGCACAATAATAGATAAAATATGTATGCATGTGTACTGTAGTTTAATACTTACTCTAATTCCCCAAAAAGCATCACGTCACTGTCAATACATTGTTCTTAATGTACAATTAGGAGCTCTTAATGTACAATTAAGAGCTTAATGTGCGTGGCAAGAGCTCTGGTGTGTGTCGTCTGGTGCTCACTGGGGTAGTCTTCCACAGTTTTTCCTATGTGGTTTTATTGCAAATGGCAAATAAAGGAATCTGAATCTGAATCTAATAGCACTGGCAACATGGTAAAGATGAAGTCAAGTTTTGATGATGACTGAAAGACCTTTCTGATGCACTGTTCTTTGCTTATCTGAATCATGTTTTTGAAGGAAATGTTACAGCAAGATCTAATCCATAAATGGCATCAAATATGGATCCGATCATGTGGAAGAGACAACGCACGCAATAAGCAGTCATATTTTCCAAGGGACTGGCACCGGCGAGATAGTATTCAATTTAGTGCCATATTGTGGAACCACCTACACACAGACAAACCCCCCACCACCTCTGGATTAGTACATCTATAGTGTCATTGAATAAGCCACACATTTCAACATCATTTACCACACAGCGCCCAGGTTCAGGGTCATGCTTCTCATGGTGGGGGTCTTGAACAGGTCCAAAATAGTGTACGTCCCCTTTGAACTGGACATTTCCTTCTGCATGGATTCTTGCACTGCCTACATAAAAAAACACAGTAATAAAAATCTTTGTCTTTGCGTCCGGTGTTGTCACGGTTTACCTTGAGGTCAATCTTCTCCCCCTCATCACGTCGACCGTTTATTCTGGCCACACTCTTGAGGTTTTTGATGGCTTTTTCAGGTTGGTGATTAAGAACTAACCATCGGGAGGATTCATGGAACCACCTACACAAACAAGGAAACAGTCTGAAATGATTAAAGCAATAATCATAAAAATGAGGGTTGTTAAACTCAACTGGAAACAACGGAATGTTCTTTTTGGCCACAGAAAGCAAATAGAGCACATGCTTAATGTAATACAAAATTCAGGGTTGACATATGCATAATATTGCAGAGGACATGCTTGTTCATTTGGACCTGAGTCTAGATACATGCCCGCTTTAAAAATATATATATTTCCCCCATTCTACGGATTCTCAGCATGGTTGGAATAACAAGAGTCTGTTGTCCATGCAAAGGGACAATACATAACTTTACAAAGCCAATACAACTCTATGGAAACAGTTCAAATCACTGCCGTTAAAATGTCTTGAGAAGTCTGTAGTCTACAGACGCACAATGTTTGTCAACAAAAGAGATGTATAAAATAATGTGTTCAACTGGAGAATGGAAAGTAACTGCTTGTGTTTGTATAAGTTAGAGATTTTAGACTTGCTTACTCAGAATGCTAAAGTAGGGTTTTTTACAATGAGAACTAGTGAGCCTATAAATGTAATTCATCTGTAATTAAGTAAATACTGCAATTCTGAAACTTCAGAATGTCCACTGAACAATGCCACTTTACTTTATCTATTTATTATCCTGCCCTATATGAACAGTATATAACTCCGCACTTTTTTTTTTTTAAGTGTTGAAGGTATTGAGGCATTTACAGCATTCACATCTGGCTAAGAAACATAGCTACTTATATTTTGTATATTTTGTGTGCTCCCTGTGTGCTCTACTACTGTCCTGTCTGTGTGCTGCAACATTGAAATTTCCCCATTGTGGGACGAATAAAGGATCTTTTTAATAAGTCAAAAGGAGGGTAATGTGTCCCTGCGAGCCTCACCATGAGATGAGGAAGAAAACATAGAACGGCAGAGACACGGCCAGAGTCAGCCACCTCCAGTCTCGCACAAAGTAAGCGATGAGCGCAAACACGAGCTGTCCGCAGGTGTAACAGTATCCTGTCAGCGTCCCGATCACCGTCCGGATACGCGTCGGGATCCACTCCACAACTGTAAGGTTCACAATGTAGGTGTTCACTTTGACATTAAGCACAGAAAGCTTGAGGTGCCTCTGGAGGAGCTGAATCTTACTGAGGGAGAACGTGTTGAGGCCCTGGCCGGACAAAGCCATGCCGCAGCCAAAGCGAAACAAGCAGAAGAGAGAGAAGGAGTTGGAGAAGGCTGCACAAGTGCCACACACGGCCATCAGGAGGTGGGACATGATGAGGAGCATGCGGCGGCCGTATCTGAGAACACACACAGGCAACAGGCCCATCACAGACCAACTTTGAAAACAAATACATACAATTAAAACAGTTTGAAGGAGAAGTGCTGATGTCCATTTCTATTACTTTGTATTTCATTTGTACATGTTTTTAGAAGTCCCCTTTAGTGTCTTGCCCAAGGACACTTTAAGAAGTTTCCATGGGCAAGACACTTAACCCCTACGTTGTCCAAAGCCCCCGCTGAAAGACCAAGGCTGTGTTAGCGTTGGGTGGCCGCTCTGAATGCCACCCCCGACCCAGAAATGGGCTAATAAAGGGGACGAAAATGAATTAATTAAATGAATGAATGAATGAATGAAGGCAACATGATTGTTTTTCTTCTTTCTGCTCCTTTTCATTTGTGGGTTTCTCCACGACATCTCGTTTTGCAAACAGATTTATTCCACAAGCTGTTATTAGTTTAATCAAAGCACCTAAAATATCTTTGTTTTATTCCTATACTTTAAACATCATTTATTGATGTACTTGTCTGGTGCACACTGGGGACTTTATCAAATGGCAACTAAAATTAATCTGAATGTATTTTAGTTTGATTCAGTTATTCATCAAAGAGAGCTTCATGAATCGGTTTCAGTTTCATGATAGAGGCTTATCTTTGAATGATAAAGAAATGGTGTCAGTGTTGGAGAATGGATTTTGTGCATATGAAAACACATTTAAGCCAAAACTGTTTGTAGTATTGATTTTGCGGTACAAGTTTACCAAAACATGCAAGAATCCACACACACAACTCTTGTGTCTGACATGAGCAAATATTGGTTCAAGAAAAGTCCATTCAGCATTATTTAGACTCTATGGAATGGACTGCATGGATTTTGAGGGAAACCTAAAACTGCTACATGGCCGACACTGATCTTATATTTATTGACTCATTTGTCAAAATATTTTATTTTTATTTTATTTCTTATTTTATTTTATTTTATCTTTTTTTTTTGTATACACATATGCACACATGGTTTTCATATTTTATTTGAGGATTTTACTGTTTTTACTATGGATTTGTTTTAATGTATATTCTATTGTGCAGCACTTTGGAAACTGTGTTTATGAGATGTGCTATATAAATAAAGTGGATTGGATTGAAGTGGATAAAAAAGTCCCATTGACATAAAGAACCTATTTTTTAAGGGAGTCCTAGACAAGAGGCAGAAAAAGATACACACAGTTACATACAATTACATATTATAAAAAGTTACAAACAATTTAAAGACAGTTGTTTACCTGTCCGACAGACTTCCAAACAAGAACGCTCCCACCAGGACTCCTCCCATGTACACAGTCTGGGACATCTGCTTCAAGGAGCGCAGGTCACACACCATGTCCCACTGTGGAGACGGCACACGTTCACACATGTGCACACAAAATAGACTATAACTATATTCAATTATGATCCTACATCTGATATGATACTAGAGTCCCTCTCCTTCATGCTGTAAGTCCATCCGTCAGAGCAGTATTGCAGTGCTTCTTCTTGGTCCCCTGGCTCCTCCACAACTGCAGTACTGGTATTATCCAGCAGGTGCCACTGTGGAGATGAATATCTCTGGCATCTTTCTGGTTTCCCCATTTTATCCATAGGCACAGTGACCAGCAGGGTATTCTCTGGGCTCAGCCGTCTCAGGGACAGGTTTGTGGGCGGAGAACAGTGGTGAGAGGGAACATAAGCTACAAAGTTTTGCAATAGGTTGTGGCTGGCCATCATTATGACCGGTAATGCCAAAAGAGTCACATGCACGATCTGAAAGCGTCCAGTTGCGCCCACAATCTCCAAGAGGTCCCCAAAAGCCATGGTTCTGACCAAAACAAGACTGGGTTATTCCAGCGGAGATGAACTGGAAACAAAAACAGAAGCAACATTTTATTTTTCAAAGGGCATGAAATTACAGTTATGATATTGCCACAACGTCTCAAAAATAGATGTGCAATAAAACAGTTTAAAAAGACCAGTGTATATTTGTGTTTCTATTTGTTTCTTCAATTAAGTAAACTATGTATTTTTTATGTATGAGAATATAAAATATACATATATAAGAATGTCTTGGACTCTCGGATTATAAATACAGGAGCCCCACAGGGCTGTGTTCTTTCTCCCCTGCTCTTCTCCCTGTACACCAACCACTGCACCTCCAGCCACGACTCCGTGAAGCTGCTCAAGTTCGCGGACGATACCACCCTCATTGGACTCATCTCCAACAACGATGAGTCCGCCTACAGGAGGGAGGTGGACCGGCTGGTGTCCTGGTGCAGTGGTAACAACCTGGAGCTGAACGCCCAGAAGACAATGGAGATGATCGTGGACTTCAGGAAGAGCACTGTCCCCCCCGCCCCCACCCTCCGTGATGGACTCCCCCATCACCTCTGTGGAGTCCTTCCGTTTCCTGGGCACCACCATCACCCAGGACCTCAAGTGGGAGCCGACCATCAGCTCCCTCATCAAGAAGGCCCAGCAGAGGATGTACTTCCTGCGGCAGCTCAGGAAAGCCAAGCTGCCTGCACAGATGTTGGTGCAGTTCTACACGGCCATCATCGAGTCCATCCTCACCTCCTCCGTCACCGTGTGGTTCGCTGGAGCCACAGTCAGGGACAAACAGAGACTACAGCGCATTGTGCGCTCTGCAGAGGAAGTGATCGGCCGCAGCCTTCCATCGCTGCAGGACCTGTACGTCGCCCGAGCTCGAGGCCGGGCTGGTCATATCACAGCCGACCCCTCTCACTCTGCACATGGACTATTCCAACCACTCCCCTCAGGCAGAAGGCTGCGGTCCATCAGGACTAGAACCTCCCGCCACAAGAACAGTTTCTTCCCCTCTGCTGTTGGACTCTTGAACACTTCTTAACCTGTCCCCCCGCCCTTTATAAAGTCACTTTACTGCCCATCATACGTCACTTTACTTCACTGTACTGGTGTCACCTTACATTGTGTGCACCATGTGCACTTGTATATTGTAAATAGTAACTGTAACTCTATTTTAAATTTAAATGTATTCCTTAGAAGTGTTTTTTATTCTTTATTTTTATTCTTTATTTTTATTATCTCTTTCTGACTGTTGCACTGAGCCAAAGCAATTTCCAAGTCTGTGACTTCCTGTTACTTACGTGGCAATAAAAATGATTCTGATTCTGATATAGTTCTTTCGGTAACGCTTTATATTAAGGTGTGCTTGTTAAGTATTAATAAGGTATTAATAGACAATAGCAACATGCTTATAGATTGCTTATATGTACTTATATGCACTATTCTCTAAATGATGTTGTTCTAGTTATATGCTTTTAAGCATTTAATAAGTAATTAGTAAGATACTATTAAAGGAGGAATATGTTTATAAATATATGAATAAGCTGCCTTTTAAACTATTATCAATACCATGTTAATAGGCCACTAACAATATGCCTATAAAGATATTAATAAGCTGCTTATTTACAGGTAATAGTGGTAATAGGCCACTAAAAATATGCGTTAATAAACTGCTTATTACACTATTTTGCAGTACCCTAATCTAAAGCGAGGAGCATTTTTGTAATGCAGAAAAAAACACAACAATGATCTAAGATGTTTTTATTTATTCAAACAGCAACAATTACAGTCTAAATGAAAAAAAAAAAAAATCAAAATTAAGTTTGTGCCAAAAGTTTGTTAGTAACTTCAAGGAGCCATGATGAACCCACTCATGCTCCGACCTGCTCTGTTAATGAATTTGGCTTTGGCAAAACAGTGAATCAACTGACTTCACGAGCCTGAGAGATTAGCGGAACTCGCCTATTTTTGGGCATCGTCTGGTCCTCCCGGTTCTGCGCAGTGGACGAGCTCCCATGATGCTTTGCGCCAAATACGCTTGCGTGGCTCTCATGCACGTGCACAGAGGGGCCGTGCTCTGACCAATCAGAGCTGCTGATCAGAGCAAGAGTTAGAGCGGGAGCCAGACGAGTAGAGTTTGTGGCAGTAAAATTTGGATTTAAAGGACAACTCACCCTCAAATCCACTTTTTTTTGCTTATAAACGGTATAAATGAATTTCAATTTGGAGAGACGTGAAACAAGAAGCTTTTGAGTTTTTTATTGGGAGGAAGTTTGGCGCCCTAGGCCCCGGTGCGGCCTTCAGATCGGAGGGGCTCTGCGATGGAGCGTGCCAATTCCCCGGGACCTAGGCACTGGTGGCGGCATTTGGCAGCGGGAAGCAGATTGAAGGCGGATTGAAGGCAGGGTGAAGAGGAGGAGGAGGGGAGGCGGTGGTTGCAGGCTTCGAGAAGGCAGAGAGTGGGAGTTTCTCCGCTTTTAAGCGGCTTGCCTGGCCGGTGCGGTGATTGGAAGGGGCGTTTGCAGTGCGATAGGCTGGGGATGAGAACCGGCCTGGAGGGGTTACCTTTGGCTGACGTCTACCAAATTGAATTTTCGCTGGCTGCATTTCAATTTGGAGAGACGTGAAACAAGAAGCTTTTGAGTATTTTATTGGGAGGAGGTTTGGCGCCCTAGGCCCCGGTGCGGCCTTCAGATCGGAGGGGCTCTGCGATGGAGCGTGCCAATCCCCAAAAAGGTTGTGAGTTGATGGAGTTTTGCAGCCTGGTTTGGAGGGGACAGACGTCGGGGCTACTCTATGCTGAGACCGCTATCGCTATATACTGTGACCGCTATCGCTATATACTGTGACCGCTATCGCTATATGCTGATGACCATCGTGCGCTAACCATTTTTTGCTATATACTGTGACCGCTAACCATTTTTTGCTATATACTGTGACCGCTATCGCTATATATATCCAAATATATAGCGATCCAAATACCTCATACTGTTGCAAGATGGCGCCGGTGTGTCTGGTACGCCGCTTGTCTCTGCTGAGTTTTATCTATTTTATTACTGTTTTAACGTTTATTCCAAGGACCATCAACTCACTTCTGGTGTATGAACGTCAGGAGTTGTTAAAAATAAAAGAAACAGTGCAATCATGTGCACTTTACAGTGCTAAAGAGTCGGGTTCCTTTTACCTCTGCGACCTGCCTGACTACTTCCTCCGGGTAAATGCGCCGCTGCCCAGGAAGCGTAAACGCCGAGGAGTACGATCTGGCCGCCTGGTGCAGGTGAAAGCTTGGCTGGCACGGTATCCTGGCATGGCGTGGTCCTCCTCACTTCCACGGGACTACAGAGGCTGTCTCCACCGCTATCTCTCCCGGCGCGCGCTTGGACCGGCACGGACTTGGTTGGTGCCTATTATCGGACAGCGGGAGGATCCCTGCGCACTGTGTCCTCTCCGCTCTTCTCACCGGGGCTCGGCCGGTGTGTCCCTGCGCAATCTCCAGCCGCTGAGGCGGGCCTCGCGTGTGTCCACAACGGCGTCCATGAGCTGCGCACTCGTGAATGCGAGGTCCGTGGTGAACAAGACATTCATCCTCCGGGACTTTTTCACATCGCGCTCTCTGGATGTACTGTTCTTGACAGAAACCTGGATCCGCACTGGTGAGTCTGCTGCATTCTCTGAGCTATTGCCTCCAGACTGTACTTTTATTAGTTCACCGAGAGCCACTGGCCGTGGCGGAGGCATAGCAACGATTTTAAGAGAAAGCGTTCATCACAAAGGAATTACAGAGTGGTCTTTTAACTCATTTGAACTCAGCTGTTTCGAGCTGCGACAGACTGATCCTGTACTTTGCGCCGTTATCTACAGACCACCAAAACACAGCAAAGATTTTATAAAAGACTTTACTGAGTTCGTTTCTTTTAGTCTGGTGCGCTATGACAGGATTTTAATTGTCGGAGATTTTAATATACACGTTTGTTGTCCGTCTAAGCCCATGGCCAGAGACTTTTTGGACTTGATTGAAGCTTTTAATTTGACACAGCATGTTACTGTCCCCACACAGGTTCACGGTCATATTTTAGACCTTGTACTGTCTTATGGTTTTACTGTTGACAAACTTGTTGTTGGTAATGCTGTGTTTTCTGATCACAGTCCTGTTATGTTCAGTTTAAGTCTGTACCCTGACGTAAAGCCACCTGCTGTGCGTCATGGGCGTGTTATTAAGTCTGACACTGCAGCCGCCTTTTCTCCTCTGTTCACTGTGTCACCGCAGAGTTTTTCCCACTCTGTTGTATCCCCAGACACTGAACAATTAATGTGCTCTTTTATGTCCACATGCTCTAGGATCCTGGACAGTATAGCGCCGGTTAGAGCTATTTGTCCAAAACAAAAACAGGAGCCTTGGCTCAATGACACCACGCGGGCAGCTCGGCGTGAGTGGCGGAGGGCGGAGCGTAGGTGGAATAAGGATCACTTGGAGGTTTCTTACCAAATTCTTATAGAAAAGTGCCGGGACTACCAAAGTGTGGTTAAAGCTGAGAAAACAAATTATCTTTCAGACTTGATTACAAATAGCATCAGTAAGCCACGTACTCTTTTTAAAACTATTAGTTCTGTTTTTAATCCGAATCCAGCCACTTCACTGGAGATAACTAATGAAACGTGTGAACGATTTGTCTCCTTTTTTAATGACAAGGTTGCTTCTATTCGAGCCAATCTAACTCCTTCATCATTGAGTTTTAACATGGCTACTCGATGTTCTGCCGTTTTTAGTCAGTTTGTGTCAGTGTCCATGTCTGTGTTGACTGAGATGGTGAGCAAACTCAAACCTTCGTCCTGTCCCACGGACCCAGTCCCTCCTCGCTTTTTTAAAGAGGTTTGGGGCACTATTGGCTCTTCTGTGAGGGACATCATCAACAGCAGCTTGCTAACTGGCAATGTGCCTTCCTTTTGTAAAAGCGCTGTTGTTGAGCCTTTGATAAAAAAAGCAGGTCTTGATC